CTCAGTGGTTCTGGCCCCTGCCTCATAAGTGCAAGGTCCTGAGTTCGATCCCCGGTACAAAAAAGAAAAAAAATTGTATCTGCAAGCACATGCGTTTTCACCACCTTCACCTTCCCTCCTATCTATAGGCACTCATGAGCATTTTAAGGAATCAGGAGGGAAGGTGAGGTGTGATGATATAGACAAAAGCATCCCCAGGGATTCTGACCCTGTGAAGTCTTCCCAAACTTTGGTGCACATTGGAAGCACCTGGGGAACTTTTACAACACTCTTTATACCCAAACCATACCCTGTGCCACTTAATCAGACCGCTTTGAGGTAGAATTCAGGATGGTTTTTAAGCTCCTAGGCTGATTCCCCTGTGCAGGAACCTTTGGGAAGCACTGCTTACGAAGAACACAGGAGAAGAACTGCTGCTGACTGTTTGGTGGGACTTTAGGCACGCCGTGGTTCCTTCGTCTGCAACAGTGGGTTTTAGGATAAAATTGTGAGTAAGGTTCAGTGAGCATTTTCAGTGTATGATGTCAGTCAGTGATTAAACTTGATTTGGTAATAAAACTGTTTGAAACAATAATAAAAATGTTAAAACACTGACTAGACTTCTTAGAAAATTCAGATTTGCCTTCCCTCCGTGATGTTAAGCTTCATTTTAGACAGTGAGGTTGAGTAGAAGCATATAATTCACCTAAGAGAACCCATGTGTTCCCTAATATACACCAGCTGTGCATAATTTGCAAATACAGTGATGTATTTATTATCTGAAGAGTTGTCTGCTTATTAGTATTTCAGTTAAACTTATTTGGAAATACTTGCCATGAGTATTATACGATGTAGACTCATGCTGCGTTATTATCACTGATTATTTCAGGAGAGCTATAGAGATCATAAGTTTGGTGGGAACTTGTATTTACTAATAAGTTTTATAGTCTTGGAAATGTGGATTTCTTTTATTTAGTATACGGTACTTTTATTATTTCCTCTTAGAGAAATAATGAAAAATGATGAGCAGGTGAGTAATGTAGTAAATCAGCTAAAATGAATGCATGGCCTTCCCACTTTTAAAAAATGATAGTATCGTTTCCATTTAAGCACGTGGGCAGATATGTAGAACTTTGCTCCTAGGGTGTGAGGGTATATGGGTAGAAACCCAAATGACAGGGAGAGATGTAATAACGTGTAATCAAGACAAAGGTGTTCTATCAGCACATTGCCTAGCACTTGGAGTCTATGTTCGCTAAAAGCTGAAAAATGAAAACAAGGGAAAGTGCACATCTGTAGTGTTCTGAAAGCGGAGGACTTCAAGGCTGTGGGAGGTCCTCCCTTGAAAATTGGTCTTCAGTTTCAACAAATGATAAACTCAGTCATTACAAATTTTTTTTCCTTCCACAGTGTGAGCATAGCAGTATATAATCTCATAAAGAACAGATGAGCTCTTAAAAACCCGTCTTACTATTCCTGTCAATTTGCATGATACCAAGTAGGTATAGTATTAGGTCATGACCGCAGACATTATAAGTCGAAGTGTGCTTTTAGTGACATATGGAAATAAATCATTTTAGATTTTTTGTTGTTGCAATTCGGATTGTTAAAAAATATTCTCTTAAAATCCCAGAGAATAATTACTTCTATAGATCACTTATATATTTCCTGTTTTAGAAATCAAAATTGAAAGTTAAATGTGTATGTCTTTGTGTGTGCACACCTGTATGTGCAAGGGGAGGTATTAACTGAGGGTTTCTCAATACTGGACCTGTTGATATTCTGTGATAGATAATTCTTTCTGGTGGGGGGCCATCCTCTGCAGCACAGGATCCCTGTCCTCTGCCTCATAGATGCCAGGAGATTTCTCCCTGTGTTGTGACAACCAGAAATGTCCACTGTTGGACAAGATCGCTCCTGACTATGGAACACCTTGTTAATATAAATACCAAAAAATAACTATCTTCCATGACATTTTCCAGTTTTGTTCCTTTTTTCATTGGGTGAAAAGTATGTCTCTGTTTACAGGTATGCACATCTCTTTATTTGACTGGATAGAACACAACTAGATTCTCCTGTTTCTTGGTTCGTATTGCTTTTGAGGAAGCAATATGAGGACAGCATAATCTCGTGGAGATATATAGTTGGACATGTGTATCTTTAAAAATCTCCTGTAATTGTGGACGGTGTTTAACATTACATTAAACACCACAATATTAGTGTCTCAAATTGAGTATACTGGGATTTTACATGGCATCTCAGAAACTGACATTAATACTCATTAGTGCATCTTATACAATGGATAGACTTTTTTTTACCAATACAGTATTTATAATATGCGTTTGTCAGCTTGGAAAATACTGGTTGACATTTCTTTATAATATGCAAAACACTTTTGTTAGTATCATCACCAGTCTTAACCAAAAAGTCTTCAAGTACTGAGAAGCTGTCACATGCACAGCAGAAGGTACACTTTTTCCAAATGCTTGACTTTTAGTTTCATGGCTTAAAATTTGTCATTGGCAACAAACACTTGTCTATTGTCGCTCTAAGAAAAGGCCCACTTTGTTCATTGTTGATATTTCTAGTTTCATATAACAATGTTGTTCTATGATAAGCAGCCTGTTCATCTCACAATTAAATCACAAGTGCTTTTTCCGAACACAGCCCATGCTCACAATGCAGAAATGTTTTATGTAGACTTCTCACTTATTCAGAATATTAAAAAGAAGGGCAAGATTTAACATTAGTGTGCACTGCTTCATCAAGGACAACAATAAGAGAAAGAGGCTTTTTAAAACAACCGCAAGTGGCAGTGAAAAATAGAGAGTGCTGGTATAATTTTGTACTACAGGCTTGATGCATGCTGAGAAATCAGCAGTTTTACTTATATACAAGCATTACAAGTGTCCAGCAGTGAGAACACAAGTAATGTCCTCATGTTTTTGTAAGAACTGTTTGATATCTGAGCCTCCTGAAAAAGAGCCTGGGGAATCTCCAGAGACCACAGAGAACCACTGCATTAAGGAAGCAGAATTTGTTAGTTTAATGAAAAGACTGTTATTATATAGAAAGGGAGCTATGATTTAAACTCAACAGGAACAAGAAATATGTGATGAAAATATAGAGCACTGAAGAGAGGAAAAAACTGAGAAATCTGAATCTCACTCACATCTGTTAGATTTATAGACTTAATTCCCCACCACTGTTGGTTTACTAGCATTGCTTGTTGGGAAGTCATTACTAACAGGCACCTTTAGCTGGTCCTCATAGAAAAGGCTTCACAGAACTTCATGAACTGCATAAAAAGAAGTCTTCAGGCCAAAATCCAGGAGAAGAATTTGTCAAACTGCTTGGTGTGTTGTAGGCTAGGCCTCTCCCTCCATCCTCCTCTGTGCCTAGCAGATGTTTTGCTAAGATATACATGACTGCACTTAGAAGCACTTTCTTCTTTTATAAAGATGGAAACAGATGCCTGGATATTTTTGATGAGCGATTGCATCCACTCATAGTAAGTATCATGTTTTTTTGAGTTTATAATTTTTTCTCTCACAGAGTTTTGTTTCTTTCCTCCTATTTTCCTTAGACATTCATGCCCAGAATTATATCGCTCCCTCCTATTTCAATTTAAATCATGTCCTTTCCCATGTCACAATATGCAGAATCTTCTTAGAAAAAGAGGGGCTTTCAAGGCTCTGAAAAAATGAATTTGAGAATTCTGTAGAGGTAAAGTAGAAAGCAATTTGGATTTTCTGAGCTTGTGTACTCCTGTGTTGCTTACCCTGGAGTTCTGAGAGATGCATTGATAGTGATCCCACCTTTGTGCAAACCTCAGAGAGTGCACTTACATAAGGAAGATGGCTGTGGTGCACTAGGTGGTAGCCGATGGGGCCGCTGTTTTGTTGTCCATGTAATCATCACTGACCGAAGTGCCAGTGTGCTCAGTAAAAAATCCCAGTGTTTCTTGTTGAAGACTAAAAGACATGCAATCCAATTGAGATTATTTTAAGGAACACGTGAGCACAAGGTGAAGACTGCTGTCTTAAGAGTACTTAAAAGCTTTCTTCAGTGAATACTTATATCACATCATTTCTCTTTTCAGAGAGAGAAACTTGCAGAGGACTGCTTCAAGCAAGATTATGAACACATATATATTTACAGATTTTTTGCTATTATTTTTAATGCCGCACGGTTACCAACTGAATGTGCAATAACAGCTTTGGTAAGATGTTTCTTATTTATCTTGCATGCTTAGAAATTGGACTTGTACACAGAGCAAAGTCTTTTTTCAAAGGAAAGTAGATTCCTGAAATTATCATGAGAACTTCATGAAGAGAAGCCTATCGGAGGAAAGTAAAAAACATTTGGGTCAGATAATCTTTAAAAATTTGCCTTTCCTTTTCTCATCACAAGACAACTGCTATTGATGGTCACGGTAAACAGAGAGTTTTCCCCCCACACATCCACTTAACACCATGAACCCTTACACAGGCTGCGGGGTGGAAAGGAGAAAATAACAAGGCCATGTGAGCCACGGAGACTGATTCTGTGCAGATCAAGCCAGGTCCCAGGCTGTGTTTCCTGGACAGTTCACTGCCTTCTGTTCTCTGTCCCTTGGCTTATTGGGTGTCAGTCCATCCCTGCTGACCACTGGTATCCGCTCGTGACGCTGCCCAGGATGACAGTAGCAGCAGTTCTTAGAAAAGCTTTGTTAGCCTGCTAAACTGTAGCTGTAATTTTACCAGGCCTGTGTCTGTGCCCTTCATGAGTGTGAAGGTGATAACAGTGCCACTCTGCTGGATGAGCTTGGCTGAGATGTGCAGTCATTCCAGTCACCAGAATTGGACAGGAAATGTACATGGCCAGCAGAGGTGTCTCATTTCCAACTGGGACCTCACCTCTTGTTCAGCTGAGCAAAATCTCTGTAGCACTCAAAAGTAAGAGGCACTTTCTATCTGTTCAGGCACAGAAGAAACCCGTCACTCCTGACAGTTCTTAGCACAGCACTTACGCAGGACTGAAATCACAGAACAGTGCTCTCCTCTTTGCAAGTCTTCTTAGAAAGGCTTTTATCGTATGCTGAGATTGACATCTGTCCCACTCACTGGAGGAGGATCGTCCTGGGGGCCATTCTTCTTGCCTGCAAGTACTGGGATAATGCGATTCTCTGGAACGTGGAGTTCTGCCGGATCTTCAAGGATGTTACACTTAAGGACATGTGGGTTTGAAAGGGTTTGGTGAATTTTCTAAGCATGTTCTAGTTCATTTGCTCCCATACAGTATGCAATTTAAGAAATATTTTAAAATATTACATTATACAGAAAATGGAAATAGGAACAAAATTATTACTTTCTGCTCATGTATAGTATAAGTATTCATATTTTCCATCATTAGTTGTTGGTTTTATTGGAATATTATTTTATTGATATGCTTGGTAAGGTGAAATGTTTTCTCATGGTTTTTGCCAAATATCTTACAAGCACCAGAACAACATAGTACAGTACATGTCTTTATGGCTTTTTAAAAGCTATGAGGTCCAATCCCTTTTCAGGGCTGTTGTGTCTGGCTTTTGAAAGAAATGTTTGGCCAGTGTTAAGGTCTTAGGGCCAGTGGACTATGCAGAATAGCTTCAGCCTGAGACACACATTGTCAGAGTTTCATCTGAACGGGTGTTCGTAGCATAACCAGGACATACAACAGGAAAGGTTCCAGATCCCCGGGCCTGCCTTTTTCTGACTAGGAGTGCTGCATGTGTGTAGAAATTGGTATGATGGGCTCTCGTACTCTGTGTATTGAATGCACACAGGCTGCTGCATAGTCACACAGGAGAGGACTGCTCCCAGTCATTTCTTTTTCCACTGTACAGGACTCTGTGTGTGTGTGTGTGTGTGTGTGTGTGTGTGTGTGTGTGCGCGTGCGCGCACATGCATGTACACTTTATTCTGGGGAGGGGTAGCAGATGCTGATCATCTTGGGGTTTCCCAACACAGAAACAAGAGTGTGAGTCCTGTGCTCTGCCAGAAATCATGTGCTAAAGTGGATTTAGTCTAGCCGAGACTGCTGTCTTTGATCTTTCTACCTTCTGAAGTTTAAAATGAGTATCTTGATTGTCAGGGTCACAGTTTGTCACCCTAGTAATAAATGAGTTGCCCTTTCACATAGCCTTATATTTTGGGGTGGGGGAAGTGATTTCCTTTCCCATATAGCACAGATTGTTTTTTTCTTCATTTATGGTGATTGCTTTTTGCCTGAAGAGGTTTTCCCCTCAGAGAGGAGTAAGTGGTTCCTTGGTTGGTGCCTCTCTATTTCTCTAAGCCCTTCCTCTTATGAGCCCATTGAAAATGTCATCACTTCTTTGGTGTGCTCACTGTAGTGTGGCCTTGTGAGTGTGTGGAGTGTGAGTCACACAGACGCATTGATGGACTCTGAAGAATGGGCTGGAGCCAGCAACAGGCGGGAGTGAACAGGCCATAAATTTGGCCTTCACCCTAACACAAAAGTGCTGGGATAAAGAAAGGACCGAAAATAGCTGTGGCTTGTTGGAACATGAGTATTTTCTTCCAGTTGGGTAGCTTGCTGAGGTCTCAAAATAGAATTTACAGCCATCTTAGAAGCTCAAAATCACATTTTTGAAGATGGCCCATTTGACTAAAATTGTCCTGTATTTGTTTTGTTGTGTTCTTCCTCCCCAGAAATGAGTTGGAAAGGCATTACTTGGACCTGCTTAAGTTTAATGTTAAAGTGCCTGTCAGTGTTTATGCCAAATACTACTTTGACCTTCGCACTTTAGTGTTTGACAGCAGCCTGTGCTGCATGCGTGTGCCTCTTACCAAAGAAAGAGCACAAGACCTAGAGGTAAGACTGGGCTTTCGCTAAGTGAGGTTTTCTGTGAACCACCAAAGCCAGCATCTTGACTATAGTGACTGATGCGAGAGGCCTACACTTAGCACGTATGATGTGTGATGTATGCCTTTCAAATTCTGGAGGTTGGAAGAATGTAGCTTTTCAATGGATGTGGTAGCTGACATGGGGAAATATAACATACATGGCTTTTTTTTTTTGCTGAGTATATGCTAAAATAATTTACACCAGAAATGGACCTGTACATGCAAATGTCACTTTCTGTGGTGCCTTGGTTGACATTTTACAATATTGTGTTTTTCTCCCTAACCCATATGCATTTGACAGAGAGCCTTTTAATGCTTCAATCGTAGAACTGTCCTGCCCTATCGTAGGGCAGTACACACCTCCCTCCGCAGAAGTAGCTTAGAGTTTGTAATAGCTATTGAAGAGTGGGTAGAGCTGAAAGAGTGAGCCAGTGTTTTGCACATGTTTAATTTATCATTCTTAATGAACAGTTGCAAAGGTAACATATGTTGCTGTTATGAGCCTGTATCACAAAGCCTTTGACATCTTTACAGACTTAGTTTTTTTAAAGACTGTAACTTAACAAAGTTCCCCTGTTTTGGTAATCTGATCTTCCTCCTTTAAGGATGGTAGTGAATTGGTAGAAAGTAGCACTTGCCAACGTGGCACTGCAAGTCTCAGACAGCCCAAGCAGCACTGACCACGAAGTATTTAAATTAATCTGCAGCATGACTGAATATCAGACCTGAGACATTTTTCTCTTTAGGGCCGCAATCTTTGAAACAATTCTACCTGTAATTGGTTTAATTGACTTTCCTAGGTCAAGTCACAATTTTGTGAAGAGAATGACTTGTGCAGAGCAGCTGTGAGAAGATCATCCAGTGATGGCAATTGTGTTGGTTTTTGTGTCTAATATCATCCTCTCTTAAAAGGGAGAAATGGGACCTGAGACATCACGAACCCCTCATTTTCAAAAGTTGGAGAAAACCACCTCTCTTGCAAAACAAACAAAAAACCCCAGCCAAGTTAATATTTTCACCAAAAACACCTTGAATTCAAGCAACTCTTAGACAGTGACATTTGCACTGGATGGGAAAGAAAGAGGCCTTGTCAAAGCAGCAACACACTTCCTGTCCTCATTGACGTGAGCAGAGTTGCAAGGACTGCAAAGCAGAAGCTCCGAGCTGACACAGAGGCATTTGCTTACTTCGCAGGCCAATGCCTGTGAGCTCTGTGAGGCTTTTGAAATAATTTAAATTAAAATTAATTTAAAGTTTTAAAGTTAGATTTTAACAATAGTACCCATATAATTGTTTTGCCCGCAATATGGCTACGTGTGCCTATAGGATTGTGCAGTATTGCCATTAAAATATGGGGTTCTAGGGCCAGGGATTTAGCTCAGTCGTTCCTGCGCCTGAGTCCAGTCTCCGGTCCAAAATCAAAAAAAAAAAAAAAAAAAAACCACCACCAACAAAAATATGGGGATCTTTTATATTCCTGGGAAAAAAATCGAGGGTCTCTACCACTGAGACACCCACCAAGCCCCACACATGGGCATGTTCATACTCACAAAGCCCCTGAGGAGTAGACTGTTGCGCTGTCAGGTATTGAAGGTTCTTCCTTCCTGTGGTGTCATTGGGTTGCTAGTTATTATTGTCAACCAGTTTACACAGAAAAGCTGCTGCAGAACACTTGCCACTCATGTCCTTTGCAAGCACTACTTAATACCATTGGGGCATGTTGGTGGTCACAAAGAGAAAGGCTCAGTTATGGACTGTCTACCTCTATCGGGTCCATGCTGCATCTTGTGAACTCTTAATGGTCCTTCGTGTTTTCTAGTCATTTTCCCCTTGCTAAATAAACATAATAGAAGATGTTTTCATAACGCAAACCAGCATGGTGGTCTAGTGATAACCAGAAGATAATAACTTACAAGGTGTCCCAAAACTTTCAGTGTAGTTTTAAGCCTTACATTACTGTGCTACTGCCTCCCAGGGCATTGCAGCCAAAGCTGCAAACTTTTACAAAACATCATTTGAGAATTTCAGTTTTGCAAATTTGGAATATTAAGGTTTTATTTTTACTTTTTTCTTAGTGTCTCTTAAAGGGAATAGAAGAAAGAGGAACTGGAACAAAAATTGCAATTAAAAGCTTACTATTCCACATTGTAAAAATTAAAACTTTCAGATGCTCTAACATTGCAGCTCCTGTACTTCTCTTGGTATCAAAGCTTAAAATTACACTAAGACTTTTGGGATGCTTTGTATTGCCACAGAATTTCCCTCCTGTTTTTAAATAGTTCTTTGAGAGCTATGTACTATCTACTTCGATCACCTAAATTTCTTTTCTCTAGATTTGGTAAAGGAAGATTATTAAGAGCAGTGTTAAGTCACGTGTTATAAAAAGGAATTGGACCCCAATAGCAGCAAGTGATAGGAAAGCTTCTTTTGAAGTCTACCCTACATGTTAACCTGGCTCTAGATGCCCCATTTCAAGTCCTCCTATTTAAGAGGGAACTTATGTGAACCTTAGGAATGTTACTGAAGGCTTTAAAGGGCAGAGATTAAGTGATTTGAAGAAGTTTACAACGATGTTACCTACATTTGAAATACTAATACTGATTAGTGTTCTTGCCCTGTGAGATCTATTTTTCTTCCATCTCAAATGTAATCCTAGGAATCTTGTCTGTAACAAAGCACTTCCAGCCCGGCAGTAGTTCCTCATAGTGTAGCAGGGCCTCACACAACCTTGCATATTGCAGGTTCCACCGTGTTTTTTGAAAAGACATAAGAGATAAGCAGTGGCATGTGAAATAATACAGTCTACCACCTCGAAATTGTTTATGGAATTTCAAGTTTGGAGATCTGAGTGTTAATAGCAATTTTATTTTGAAAAACAATGCTACCACTTAGTTATGTTTCTTCCTCTTGTCTGTATTTTTTAAAAGTTAATAAAGTATTTTGATTAAAATACAGCTGGTTTGTTTGTTACCACTTCTCTGTTCACATAACATCACATCTCTCCAGAATTTAAATATTTTGTGTCATTCCTGATGGGTTTTAAGATATTTTCAAACTGACCCCATTAAAGCTGGCTTGATCCAGGGCCTCTGCTTAGGTTTAGTAATTAATAATTAACATGTTTTGCTTAGCCTCTGTTTTCACCTGAACATAACATAGATAGATAGTATGTGTGAATAAGGAAAGCACACAAGAAATCAGGTAACATATACCAAAGAGAAATCAGTGACAGGAATAGTACAGAATTAGAACATCAGGTGTTTGAAGTTTGCAGGCAGTAATGGTAAAGCAGTGAAGGTGCAGGAACTGAAGTTGGAGTTGCTGTAGAGAGAGTCACCTAAAACAAGCCACACAATTTGACATTAACGTGCTATTCTCAAGCATATATTTCATTAGAAATAGCCCAAATACTGGCAAGGTTTCTTTAATATAGGAGACCAGCCACTCAAATTCAGAAATTCTTAATCTAGATAGTATTGCAGTATGTTCCTTCACTTGTACTCTTTCAGTATCAATGGCTAAATTTAAATGACTGATCACTTTGTTCTTACTATATTGATTGTAAGGATAAACACTGATTTAATTCATAAGGGAAAAATGTAGAATGAGTGTGATTTCCACAGTATGTCAGTTCCTAAGAAATGTTTTGAAATATTCAAAAATTTAAAAAGAAAACTTGGAGGATACAAATCTGTAAATTCAAGAACAAGTTGGAAGAACAAATAGAATCGCTAAAAATTGTTTTTCCTTCGTTACTCACAACATTAAAAGTGGCTAAGTTCTCTTGGATATTATAGGGTGTGGAAACCAAATTGCTAATAGAATGTTAAATGGCAGTATTCTCAGGTTTCTATACATAGGATATTACTGAAATCCAATAGTTCTTTTTAAAATTAATTTTATTGGTACATTTTAGGTATACAGTATAATGACATTCATCATTGGAAATTTGTACCTTTATATAAGCTATCTTGGTTCTTCTTTTTTCCCCATTCCCCTACCCCCTCTTAAACCCCTCAACCCCTGCCTATTTACAAAGACTTTGTTTCCATCTTTTCATTTTATCATATTAATTCGATTCCCTTCTTTCCTTTCCTCTACCCCTCCCACTTCCCCTTCCCCTATGCCCCTTTTCTTCCCAGTGACATTATCTATGATACCTTTTAGTCCTTATTTACTCTTTCAGTTTGTCCCACCCGAGAACCTTCGCTATTTACACGTGTCCTATTTATTTCACTGAAGAGTATTGCCTCAATATGCATGCATTTAGCTATGATTTCTCATTCTAATTTCTCATTCTTTACGGCTGAGTAATACTCTATTTTATTTTTTTAAAATCCACATTTTCTTCATCCAGTCTCCAGTTGATGGGCAATTGGGCTGTTTCCAACTTTTAGCTATTACAAACTGCCTCTATGAACATGGGTGCACATATATCGCTGTGGTATGATTCTTTTAAATTTGGGGGGAAGATACCCAGCAGGGGAATATCTGGGTCAAATGGGAGTTCCAATCCTAGTTCTTTGCCGTATCTCCATACTGATTTCCACAGTGGTTGCACCAGTCTACACTCCCACCAGCAGTGGACCAGGGTTCCTTTTTCTCTGCAGCCCTGCTAGCATTTGTTATTGGCTGATTTCATGATAGCAGCCATTCTTTCTGGGGTGAAGTGGAATCTCAAATTTGCTTTCTTTTGCATCTCTCGAATGACCAGTGATGCTGAACATTTTTTCATACGTTTACTTGCTATTTGTATTTCTTTGTCTGAGAAATGTCTGTTCAATTTTGGAAAGAACTATCATGCCCATTTTTGGATTGGGTCTTTAAATTTGGGAGGTCTGATTTTTTAAAGTTCTTATATATTCTAGACAGTAGACCTTTGTCTGAGGAACAGCTGCTAAAATTTTTTTCCCACATTGTGGGTTGTCTCTTCATGCCATTGGTGGTTTCCCTTGCTGTACAGAAGCTTTTTAGTAAGAAGCTATTCCACTTGTTGATTGTTTGTGCGAGTTCACCTGCAGCTGAGGTTTTCATTCATAAAATTTTTTCCTACACCAGTGTCTTCAAGAGTTCTACCTAACCTCTCTTGTGGTGAGTTTAGTGTTTCTGTGTTAATAATTAGATCTTTAATGCATTTAGAGTTTAGTTTAGTGTATGGTGAGAGATATAGGTGTAGTTTGAATCTTTGGCAAGTTGAAACCCAATTTTTCCAACACCATTTATTAAAGAGGCCATCTTCCTCCAGTGAGGGTGTTTGGCTCCTTTGTCAAAGATGAGGTGGCCGAGTGTGTCTGGAGTTGTTTCTGCATCTTGTAATCTGTTCCACTGGTCCTCTGGTTTGTTTCTTTGCCAGGACCATATTGCTTCTATCACAGTAGCTTTGTAGTATAGTTTCATATTGGGGATTGTGATACCCACTTAACTTGTCTTTGTTGCCTAAGTTTGCTTTGGCTATTCTAGGTCTGCTCTTGTTCCTGAATTTTTGGGTTGCTTTCTCAAGCTGTGTGAAATATGGTGCTGGAATTTCAATTGAGATTGCATTGAATTTGTGATCTCTTTTTTCAGAGTGGTATAGTTTTCAGAGTAGAGGTCTTTGATTTCTTTCATTAGGTTGATGCCTAGGTATGTCAATATTTTGGATGCTATTGTGAGAGAAATTGTTTGCCCAATTTCTCAGTGAGTCTGTTGTTTGTGTATGCGAAAGCTATTGATTTTTGTGTGCTGACTTTGTATCCAGCTACTTTACTGAATTTGGTTATTAAGTCTACAAGTCTTTTGGTGGAGTTCTTGGGGTCTTCTACATAAAGTATCTTGTCATCTGCAAATAATGACAATTTGATTTCTTCATTTCCTACCCTTACTCGTTTTATTTCTTTCTCTTGTCTTATTGCTGTGACTAATGTTTCCAAAACTATATTGAATGGTGATAGTGGACATCTGTGTCTTATTCCTGATCTTTGTGTGAAGGATTTCAGTTTTTGTCCATTTGATATGATAATTGGCTTTTGGCTTTTCATAGGTGGGTTTTATCAGGTTGAGATAGAGACCGTGTATTCCAATTTTCTGTTAGGTTTTTATCATGAATATGTGTTGGATTCTGTTTAATGCTTTTTCTGTATCTATTGAGGTGATCATATGGTTTTTGTCCTTGGCTCTATTAATACAGTGTATTACATTTATC